AGTAAATATTAATGCATAAAATAATTGTATATATGGAGTCATGTAAAAAGAAAGTAATCGATTTAGAATTCATTAAAATTTTGTGAGAAAGTCCATAACGTATACATAACGTATAGAGAGAGAATTGACAACTTTTAGGGTGGGGTTGGGAGGGGGGAGGGGTGAGACTAGGGTGGGGCCCGTGGGGGTTTAGGGGGTGGGTTAGCAACAAATGACATTACTTTTACACATGACATTAACTTAATGATAATTTGGAAAAATAATTAGCAACAAAAATATATCTTCCTTACATTTCTTAAAATAAAAACAAGAAGACTTTGTGGGATTAAAGAATTACGTACTTAGTATCATCCCATAATAAAAGTGTGTATTTCACGTTTTACTTAAAAGAAAAGCCAATTACGCTATGATTGTTTGACCATATATGAGTTATTTTGCAATTTTTTTAAAATTGAAGTACAATAATTTATCCAATTATAGGTCGAAGACCACATGAACTATTTAATTGTACGTGCCACTCAAAAATTAATGTGGATATAAATATATAACCATTTCGATTTGCACGCATGGTACAAAAGATAAAAATGACTCAAAAGTAAAATTCGCCGGTGGGCGTTACGCAATTAGCAAAGTCTAATTTATTTTCTTTTAGCGATCGTCAGATCGGGTCTGAGTGAAGCCTGGGGCATGGGCTCATCCTTTTATTGGAAAATGCATTGAAAAAGCGGGCCGGGGTGCACTGCACCCCATGTTAATGTGGAATGGCCGACAAGTCGTCGCCGCAGAGGATTCCCACTCGTCAACCCCGAGGATGCCGACGACGTGGCATGTTGAAGACATGAGTGTCTGTGGGGCCCTTCAGCGGAATGGGATGTAGGCCCCCCTCCCCCCGGTCCAACCCGATCGAGTTTTCTTCTCTCTGATCTGCAACCATATAAAGACCGCTTGCGAGCCGCCGTCCATACATCTCTCATCTTCCATTCTAATCTCTCATCATCTCTCTCTCTCTCTCTTATTAATTATTTCACTCATTCTTATATAGATATATCACCCCCTTCTCATCCATCAACTTGTGAAATAAGAAGGAAAAAGAATGGAAATGAAAATGAAGATGAGAAGCTCGTCGTCATCATCATCGTCCTCGTCGTCATCATCATCAGCTTGGTCGGCGTCGCCGTCATCACCGTCGTGGTCGGCGGCGGAAACCAAAACAAAGAAGAAGGGAAAGGGAGAGACAACGACGGAGAGGAGGGGCAGGAGGAAGGGGAGGAGCGCCGGAAGGACGATGGGGAAGTTCCTCAGGGAGCAAAGGGGGAGGCTTTACATCATTAGAACATGTGTTGTCATGCTCCTCTGCTGGCAAGATTAGTTACTTAATTACAATTAGTTAAGGATATACGATGATGATCCAACCTTAATTAGATTGGTCGTCCAGGAATGGTAGATTCAGACAGACAGTATGTAGCCTAGCTAGCTTATTATTATGGAAATATTTAGTGCAAATATTTCTATTAGTATTCATGTTCTTAGTACGCGCGCTTAATTAGCTTATTAGCTACTTAATTAGATTATATGGCTTCTTCAACCATAATTTTGTTTTCCATCGATTAATTATATAATGATAATATACATACTAGCTAGTGAGCGGTGTAAATCGCCACTCCGTATCTATCAAGCACTGCACCCAACTAATATAAATTAAGCAGTGGCAGCGGGCGAGGCAAATGCCTGCCACGCTTGCCATATCAGCTCCCAATTTTTTTTTTTGCCATGCTTAGCATGAAGAAAAAGACCATTCCCCACGGTGAGCAAGTCAATTGCAAGGCATCCCACCCATTCCCACGCCTCTTTTTATTTTTTTTCTTTTTTTTTTTTTTTTTTTGATAACAAAAACTCTTTTTTGTAAGGAAGTAGAAGTATTTTTTAATGAGAGAAATAGCAAAATTATTTTTAATAATTAAAATACATTACAAAAATTTTAAAAAGTGATAAAAGTAACGACTTGCCACTGTAGAGTGCGCTACTCCACTCACTTGTCACTCTCTGACTGGACCATTTTTTATTGGTTGATTTATGCCATGTCAGCGTGTGACATTCTTTTTTTTCCTTGCCATTGTCCATGCTCTAATTACATCCGCCACTGGTTTGATGAATGCAAATTACTGCGGTTAAAGAATATCTCACATCGGAAAAGTATGAAAAAAATAATTAGTATTTAAGCACTTGAGTTGAACAAACTAATCAATTGAATTCAATTGGTTCAATTCAAGTGTCTTATTACCCAATCTAGTTGTCATACCCCATCTTAAATTCTATCATGGTATCGGAGCAAGTTTTGGCCTATCTCGTTTGTCAATGTGTCTGTCTAGATGTTCATTCCTAACAGCCTGTTTGTCTTTAGCCCAATTGTCCATTTGGAGCTCGTACCCAACAGCATGTGGCCTGTTTAACACGATTGCTCGTCTGCAAGTCCATACTCAGCGACTCGTGGTCCTTTAGGTGTTACCGTAAAAAAAGGGAGATGAGAGTTCATTTGCAATTCGTTAACCGGTTAGATTCAAAATGACACGGTCGTCCAGTTGAGGGGGAGTGTTAATTTAAGTATCCAAATCGGAAAAGTGTGAGGAAAATAATGGGTATTTAAGCTCTTGCGTTGAACTAACTAATCTATTGAATCCAATTCTTTTAATATGGTTCAGCCTAAGTTTCTTATTAACCAATCCAGTTGCCATACTCCATCCTAAATTCTACCAACTACCGAGTACTTCGTATATTGTACAATATAAATACTCACATATAAGTAATAAGGAGTACTGTAAAATTTTTATACGTACGGATAATTGTGGCATATACGTTATTCTCTCTGTCCTAAAATATTTTTCTCGTTTACTTTTTACACGATCAAACTTTAATCACTTTCTTTATCTATTTTCATTAGGTATTTGACAAAATAATACTCCGTATAATCTTTTCACCACTTGTTTTGTAGAACTTTTGATGTAGTTTTTATATACCCCGAGTATATAAAGTTAATTTTTTAGTTTTACACCTACAATCAAATAAATTGAATTGAAAATAAAGTCAATTAAATCTCGTAAACAGAAACGAAAAGAAAAATAGAAAATTATAGGACGGAGGGAGTATTACTTATCCTAATATATTGCTCAACCACTAAAACCGATTATCTGTTCTAATATATTTTCTCAATTTAAAGAAGAATAAACAATATAATATCTTGTTGGAGTTCAAGCTTGTGATCTTATTCCATTTGAGAGAATCACGCTGATCGATGTCCTTAAACCACAAAATCTTTAGCTATGTAAATTATTTATTGTATCACACTGCATCATACACTCCGAAATATGTCACCCCTAGTACTAATCCATTGTTTGGTTTGTGAGAAAAATGTGAGAAAGAAAAAGAAGGATGAGAAAACATACATTTCAATATAATTTTCATGTTTGGATGAGAAAGAAAAAAATGAGAAAGGAATACAATTATGTGGGACGGATTAAAAAATTATCATTAACATGGACGAGAAAACCGTGCCATAAAGAAGATAAGATACTCAAATTATAAAATTGCCATTTTTCTTCTTTTTTTCTCATTATTTTCTTATCATTTTTCTATCATTCAAACAATAATTTTTTTTCCTTCCATTTTCTCACCATTTTTTCTTCTCATTATTTTCTTTTTCATTGTTTTCTTTTTTTTTTCATTTTTCTTTCTCATCCAAACAAAGTGGGTGTAAGAGTCATCATGTACGTACCTTATTGTACTCCGTACTTGTTTGTAGAGTTTCTACATTTAGTATAATTAATTGAGTAATTTACCTAAATAGGACTAAAACATAATGACTTTCCCAAAATAGGACCTTATGTTTTTATTTCCGAATGTAGGATCTTTGGTCATTATTCTTTAGTCATTATTCAAGTAATGTCTATCATTGCTGAGCATTATTCCTTCCACGAAGACATTATTAAGTCCTATTTAGGGAATAAAAAAGTTTAAGTCCTAGATTGGGAAAGTCATTATGTTTTAGTTGCCAGAAATTGAATTTTAATGTTACTTACTTGAAAAATGCTAGGGGTTATGTCCCCCACCCCCTCATTGTCCACTAAAAAGGCAAAAAAAATTTTAAAAAATAAGTAAATAAAAATCAAATAAAAATGTGTGGTGAAGATGGGGGTGATGTACATTTGGGGTACACTTTTTGGTGTACTCCTAGCCCTGCTCTACTTACTTTGACACCTATCCACTCTTGCCTTACCATGGTTAGGTTGTGCCTTATTTTATTTTTTTCAATTTTCAAACGAGAGATTAATGTAAGAATGAAGGGTCATTGTGGGGGACAGGTGGGTTTGTTCCCATTGAAAAGACATCAAAATAACATCACGCCCTAATCTTTTGTCTCTCCTACGACTATTTGAAATTTTGAACTACTCGCAATTTAATTTATTCGGCCATTTATATTTACCCTTCCTTCCCAAAATATTTACTTCTCCCTCTGTCCCGAAATAAACTTCCTATTTTGACTTTTTCTCATTTTTAGTGGATGTTGGGTGTAATTTCTCTAAAATACCCCTCTCCTTCCTTTCCCAGCCCTGCCCCTGCCACCATCAAATCCCCACCACTGCCTCCACCGTAGCCCCTCTCCTCCTCGCCGCCAGCCCCGCGTTGCCGTCAGCTCCACCATCGATCCATTCTCCGACCATCTCCACCATCCCTCTCCACCATAATTGCTCCAGTCGTATCATCACCGCTATAGCCCTACCATTAGATCTCAAAGAAATAAAGAATGATGAGAAAGAAATTTTAGATCTCAAAGAAATTAAGAAGAAAAGGAGAAAAAGTGGAGATCTAGACTCATCTTCGCCACCATCGTTGCCGCCACCATCGCTGCCGCCACCATCGCTGCCAAGCTCGGATCTGGAAGAAGAAATAAGCTCGGATCTAGAAGGAGATGAAGAAGGGAAAAGATGAAGGGGGGAAACTGAAGAAGGGGAGATGACGAAGGAAGAGGGAGGAGGAGAAATAAGAAAAGCAAAAAGAAGAAAAAGTAGAAGAGAGGAGAAAGGAGGAGAAAGAAGAAAAGCAAAAAGAAAAAGTGGAAGAGAGGAGAAACAGTAGGAGAGAAGAAAAAGAAAAGAGTGGAAAGAAGGGGTAATTTAGGAAGAATGGGTATAAAATTGTAGAATGAGAAGATTATTTTCGGACGAAAAAAAAGGTAGAGTAGGAACAGAGGCGGATCCAGGATTTTAGAACCATGGGGTCCTCTACTTCTCATTCTCATCTCAAACTATTTCATCAATCTTAACATTTAACAATAAACTAAAACTAATATTTGAAAAGTACCATAATTAATACATAGAAATAAAGTCATATGAAAATAATATTGTTTACAATTGTACTTGAGATACCGGAGCACTAACACTATTACCAAATTCCCTTGGACTCGAATCTTTGAATTTGGGTAGCTTTTTGAAGTACCTTTGCATTTTAAATTCTATAAATAAAAAATTAATATTAATTACATAAATTAGACATAAAATGAACATTAATACAATAATACTTATCACTTGCAATCCTAAATCAATTTTTTATTGAAGAAAAAATTTTGATTCTTTAATTAATAAGTAATGAATAAAAAATAAATTTATAAATTATTATATATTTATATATTATTAATCATATATCAAACTTTACGATTATCAGAGTGTCGCAGCGGAAGCATGGTGGGCCTATAACCCACAGGTCCCTAGATCGAAACTTGGCTCTGATATTTTCTGTTGTGGGATTCAACTGAGTTGTTGTTGTTGCATATATCAAACTTCAAACTACCATAAAAATTAATTTTAGTAAAATAAAAAAAAGTTTTTTAGACTAATTACGTGTCGGGACTGCGATGTGGAGTGTGGTCGAATTTCGGTGGAATGGCGAACAGAGCCCGGCGGGCGACGAGAAAGAGAGACGGAGAATCGCAGAAGTTAAGGTTCAAAATCAAAGATTTAAAATAGAGAATTGGGGAAGAGAGGTCAATTTTGGAAAGAAAATAGGGGTAAGGAAAGAATGGGTTTTGCAAAGAAAGTAGAGACGGATAAGATACCATATTGCAAAGAAAATAGAGATGGAGAAGATAAAAAAAATATAAAACTCACTATAGAGCACCGCGCGAGATTAGAACTCGGGTATATTGCTTCCACCGCTCTGCACGCTCCCACTACACCATTGGAAATTATGTTTACCAGGAGTTATGCACTTATTATATATTAATATTTTTACAAACCTAATACCTATATGGACCTACACCGGGGTCCGTGGGGTCCCGGGACCCCATAGGACTCAAGGTGGGTCCGCCTCTGAGTAGGAAGATTATTCTTGGACGGAGGGAGTATTACACTTGCTTTTTCAATAGTTACGGAAACTTTTGTTTATTTCTACATTTTC